GGGGAGAGCTTGTCCGCGGACATATCGCGAACAAAGGCACGAGATCCCCAGACCCGGAACATCGACGCATCGCCAACCTCCCCCGTCCAACGCAGTGTGGGCAAGGTCTCCGGCAAGGAGACACGGGGCCAGAGGTTGAGCTAATGCGCAGCGTACCGGACCGCAATCGGCCACAGAAAATGGGGAGTAGCCGCATGGATCATGGAGGTACGAGCGACCTCTATGACTAAGCCAATGCAGCGCTCAGCAATCCCATTTTGCTGAGGGGATTCCGGAAGCGTGAACGACTGGAGAATGCCCTCCCCAAGACAAAATTCCCGCAAGAGGTTGGAGGAGAACTCACCACCTCTGTCAGAGTGCAGACGCAGGACAGGAAGGTTCTGGCCAAAACGCTCACGGAGCTGGAGACGGACTGTGCGGATCCAAGGGATCAAGGCATCAACAACCTGACCCTTGATGCGCAAGGGGTAGACCGTGGTGTACCGCGTGTAGTCGTCAACTACCAGCAGAAAGTAGCGCTCGCGGCTCTGTCCACTGACGCGGGCTGGGCCCCACACGTCCATGTGGAGAGTCTGCAGGGGAGCACTCATCGAGGGAAACGAGGAGGAGTGAGGAGCAGCGCGCTGCCGCCCCTCGACGCAAGGAAGGCAGGGCGGAGCAGGCGAGGGCGGCAGAGAGGCAGGGACTTGGGAAGACCAGAGACAAGAAGACGAGAGTGCATGCCACGAAGGCGTGGCAGGGAGGGGTGACCTAGGCGGTGGTGCCACAGAAGAGTCTGGTGCGACAGGAGGCGGCACGAGCAAGAGGTAGCTACCTAACTTGATGGGGACACCTGAGCAGACGTAGCTACCTGAGGAGGCTCGGTAGCGAGTGTGTACAAACTCGACCCTGGCCGACGAGTGAACGTGGCCAGGTGACGCCCTGTCCGTGTGCACGTGCAGATTGTCACACGCTGACCCCCAGGAGTGGTGGTAGTGACCATCGCATCCTGGAGGGCAGCGGTACTCACAAGGTTCGCAGAGAACAAGGGGAGGTGAAGACCTGACAGTGAGCCGGACAGAACCGCCGGACACAGGAGGACAGTGGAGGAACGGGCCACGACCGGGCCCCGAGAGGGGTCAGCCAATCGGACCGGGACAGGTGTACAGAGAGGAGTGAGAGTGGTGCTGTCACGAAAGAAACAAGCAGAGGCGCCTGAGTCAAGCGTGAAGGTGTGCAAGGCCTGAGCAGGCGCAGTACCACGGAGAGTACCAGACTCACTAGCACCTAGAGCAGCAGCAGCTATACCTGGGTCAGGCGGCACACACCGGTAACAGTCACCCTCAGCACTAACAGACAAAGCATACATAGCAGAAAGAATAGCATCAAAGTCTAGGTCAAAGATAGCAATCCCAGACCTAAGCTGATCTGCCCTGCGAAGGAGCTCGACGTCGTCACCAAACTCAGCACGCCAAGCGTCGTCGAGGCGGGAGAAGCAGCCGTGTTGAGTGTGAAGCCGCTCGCAAGTCTGACCAGCACAGTCACCCGTGCGAATGACATACGGGCAACTACCCCCAGACGCCCCACGCAAAAACCACTCACGAAGCTGCTGGGGCGACTGGGTCTCGCTCCGACGCTGCTGCTGCTGACGCAGGCCACCTCCAGAAACAACACGCCGAGCGCCAGTCCCACCGCCACCAATCCCACTGCCGCCACTCCCACCGCTGCCTCCAACGCCGCCACCAGAGCCCCCACTCCCTCCACCAGTCCCACTGCCGCCACCACCTCCACTGCTGCCCCCACCACTACTCCCGCTGCCACCTCCACCACCGCCGCTGCCACCTCTACCACCCTTGCCACCCTTGCCCTTGCTGCTGCGGTGCTTCGCACTAGCAAAAGCAGCCCGCCGTCCTCAGCAATAGAGACGTCTGCAGCAGCAGCAGAGGCGTAGGAGGGGGCAAGGAGGGAGGGGGAGCACCCCTCAAAGAAGGGCGGGCGCGGAGTGCCACGAGCAGCACCTACAGCAATTGCACTAGTCTCAACTGCGAGGAGATGCTGCTCGAGGAGGTCAACAATGAGGGAGGTGGGGTCAAGAGAGAGAAATTGGTCCATGACAGAGCGAAGAGAGTCAGGGAAGCGAGTGACTATGAAGTAGAGGGTGATGAACATCGGAAGCTGGTTCCTGTCAAGGAACTCAGCAGGGACGATAGCGCGGTAGCAAGCGTCGCTTGTGCGCAGGTGGGAAACCAGGTCCTCTACTGTGGCAAAGGCTGACAGCTCGGGAACAGGTAGGGCAGAAGCAGGCGGCCTAGAGCAGCAGTTGCAGGCGAGGAGTAGCGAGCGACTACAGCAGTGTACAGTGCCTGGGCTGTCCTGTGCTGTCCAAAGTGGGCGCATTTGGCCAAAGGCAGGTGGTTGCAAATGGCCAAGCGGGCAGCAGCGTCACGAGTAAGCCACTGTGAACGAGTCGCACTGTCAGCTGTGGCGGGAGGGGCAGGAGCGGCGCCTGAGGCAAGGTCAAACATCGAAACACTGTCCTTAGAATCGCTCAGTAGGTACAGCTGCAGGTCGTCGAGCCACGTGTCAAACTGAACCGGTCTGCCCTCATGATCGAACGCGAGAACCCTAAGTGAAGCCATAGCTGTGCAGCACGTAGGAGCCGCAGTAGCAACTGTAGCAGTAGCAGCAGTAGTAGCAGCAGGGACAGAGAGGCCAAGGGGCCGAGGTGGCAGGGCCGAGGGGCCAAACACGAAGGGGGGGGGGGGGGGGGGGCTAGGGGCCAAGGGGCCGAGGGGCCTGGGGTCTAGGGGCCGAGGGGCCGAGGGGCGGGACCGAGGAGCCTAGGGGCTGAGGGGCCTCGGGGCTGAGGGGCTGAGGGGCCTCGGGGCCAAGGGGCCGAGGGGCAGGGCCAAGGGGCCGAGGGGCCAAACACGAGTGGTGGGGGGCCTAGGGGCCGAGGGGCCGAGGGGCCTAGGGGTCAAGGGGCAGAGGGGCGGGGCCGAGGGGCCTAGGGGCGGAGGGGCCAAACACGAGTGGTGGGGGCCGAGTGGCCAAGGGGCCTAGGGGCCGAGGGGCCAAGGGGCCTAGGGGCTGAGAGGCCACGGGGCAGGGCCGAGGGGCCTAGGGGCCGAGGGGCCAAGGGGCCTAGGGGCCAAGGGGCCGAGGGGCCTAGGGGCCGAGGGGCAGAGGGGCAGGGCCGAGGGGCCTAGGGGCCGAGGGGCCTGGGGGCCGAGGGGCAGGGCCGAGGGGCCGAGGGGCCTAGGGGCCGAGGGGCCTGGGTCGCGGGTCACGGGTCGCTAGGGGCCGAGGCTAGGGTGACGGGGCGACGGGGCCGCAGCTAGGGGCGACGGGTCGCGGGTCGCTAGGGGCCGAGGCTAGGGCAACGGGGCGACGGGGCCACAGCTAGGGGCGACGGGGCGATGGGGCCTAGGGGCCGAGGGGCCTGGGTCACGGGTCGTGGGTCGCGGGTCGCGGGTCGCTAGGGGCCGAGGCTAGGGCGACGGGGCGACGGGGCCGCGGCTAGGGGCGACGGGGTGACGGGCCCGCGGCTAGGGGCGACGTGGCAATGGGTCGCGAGTTGGGCGACGGGGCGACGCGTCGCTAGGGGCCGCGGCTAGGGGCGATAGGGCGACGGGGCGACGGGTTGCTAGGGGCCACAGCTAGGGCGACGGGGCGACGGGGCCTAGGGGCCGTGGGGCCTGGGTCGCGGGTCGCTAGGGGCCGTGGCTAGGGCGACGGGGCAACGGGGCCGCAGCTAGGGCGACGGGGCGACGGGTTGCTAGGGGCCGTGGCTAGGGCGACGGGGCTACAGGGCCAAGGGGCCGCGGCTAGAGGCGATGGGGCCAAGGGGCCGTGGCTAGGGGCGACGGGTCGCGGGTCGCTAGGGACCGTGGCTAGGGCGACGGGGCGACGAGGCCAAGGGGCCGTGGCTAGGGGCGACGGGGCCAAGGGGCCGAGCTAGAAGCGACGGGTCACGAGGGTGGCTAGCAGGGCAGCAGGTGGTGGGCCCAAAAAACGGTCCTAGTAGGGACCTGCTCTGAAACCATGTCAAAGTAACGAACGAGAATGAATGAACAATGAAAGAGTTGGGTACAAGTACTAACCCTAATTGGGTTGTACCCCTTATGGGCTACCCCACTATAGCCCACACAAATGTAAAAGCTATAATGTTCTGACACCCAGCTCCTTAGTTTATGATTTCTCTCAAATTTAGTCCCATGTTAACTCGAAAAGTGCGACTCTCTGGAATTATGCTCATGCGAGGCCCACATTATGTTCAAAATTGGTCATGCGGGGCATACATTTTGACATGTGTCCATTTCCGTAATATGAATTTTTGACGAGGTTAAAATCATAAAACCCCTAGGGAACCATGACACTTTTCGGGAGGGATCAACCCTAAACACCAAGCGGGTCCCCGTGTTTAGGTTTGATTCCATGGACGTTGCTAGTAAAAATCTCAGTCTGAAAATCAGACGGGATTTTTTTCCTTCGTCTGAGCGTCAGACGAAAATTTATGGCTAGTCTGGAAATTCAGACGAAATATTTGACCAAGTCTGTAAAATCAGATGAAAACAAAACATATGTCCGAGGATGAACAAACATGTAAATCTTCATTTCCCAATATTTGCTTGAAATTTCTGAAGTGTTGGCCTGCTGGCGGAAGGCTGTGAGAGCAAAGAGAATCTCCCCCTCAGCAGCAAATGTGCATGTGTGTCAGTCAGAGAATATGTCGATGTGTCAGAGAACCATTAGATGCGTCAGAGTGGACCTTTTGACGCGTCAGAGAACATTTTGACGCGTCAGAGTTAACAATTTCACGCGTCAGAGTTGACAATTTGACGCGTCAGATAACATTTTGGCGCGTTAGTGGATGCACCCCTCCGCAAATTTACACGTGGCCTAGTGGGGGATATCGTTGGTCTCAGACGAAATAATCCGCATTGTCAATGAATTCAGACAAACTGTACAAGCTCGTCTGAAAAATCAAACGGATAAATTTAGCACATCTAGTGATTCATATGAAAAATAATTCACTGTCTGCAAATTCAGATGAATACCAAAAAACGAGTATGATTTTCAGACCATAAGACAAATTTCGTCTGATATCGACGTCCCTAGTTGATACCTCCCAAAAATGTGTCCTGGTTTCCATAGGGGTTTTATGTTTTCTGCTCCATAAAAAAACTTCCGATGTGAAATCAGACACGTGTCGAGAAGTTTGCCCCGCAGGCCCACATTATCTTCAAAACAAGTCCTGCGGGGCAAACTTTTTGAGTAAACTTGGGACTAAAATTGAGAGATTTTTGGAAATAAGGAGGTGGCATGTACTTTCCCGTGCTCTGCTCCCTCTCCTCGTTGCTTTGCTGTTGTGTGCTACGTTCCGTTTCCCTTCCCAGCTGTTAATTCGAACTCCTCCTGTACCTCCTCTCTCTGCCGTTTTCTCCCAACCCACCATCGCCCATCCTACTGTCTAGCTATCATCCAGCTATCGCATTTTACTAACACCCAGCCGTCGCCTCTCCCTCTTATCCCGTAGTCGCCCCTCCCTCCTACCCCGCCGTCGCAATTTTCTCCCATCCCGCCGCCACCTCTCACCCCGTCATCACCTCTCACTCCCACCCCCCTGTCGCCTCTCCCTCACTCCCCACCATCGCCACTCCCTCCCATCCCGCCATCTCCACTACCTTCCACCCCGCCGTCGCCACTCCCTCCCATCCCGCCATCTCCACTACCTCCCACCCCACCGTCGCCACTCAACCGCAGCCGTCTCTTCTCCCATCCCGCCGCCGCCACTCCCTCCTATCCCGCCGCCTCCTCTCCCTCCTCCCTGCCATCGCCTCTCCCTCCTCCCTGCCATCGCCTCTCCTTTCCTCCCCACCGTCGCCTCTCCTTTCCTCCCCGCCGTCGCCTCTCCTTTCCTTCCCGCCGTCGCCTTTCCTTTCTCCCCGCCGTCGCCACTCCCTCCTCCCCGTCGTCGCCTCTCCTTTCCTCCCCGCCGTCGCCTCTTCTTTCCTCCCCGCCGACGCCTCTCCCTCCTACGCGCCGTCGCCTCCTTTCCTCCCCGCCGTCGCCTTTTTTTCCCTCCTCGCCGTCACCTCTCCCTCCCCCCCGCCGTCGCCGGAGCACGAGTGCAAGCGCAAGTGTTGGTGCGCGAGCACGGGTTGGTGCGCCAGCGCGGGTTGTTTTCTGAAACACCTTAATTATCAGGTGCGTTCTTGGTCCTTTCATCCCCCCTCCCCCCACGGAATTTTCCCCCCTCCTCCTCCCCCCCCTCCCCCCTCCCCTCTTTTTTGTTTTCTTTGCTCTCTTCATAAAGTTTGTGTCTCGATTGGTCTCCTCTTGCATTGCACTTCCATTTGAAGAAGGGGAGAGACGGAGCGCGAGGGAGAGCATGTACACGGGAGCGAACACGCAAGAGAGTGCGCGTGAGAGCGGGCATGAGAGTGCGCGTGAGGGAGAGCGTGAGAGAGCGCGTGAGGGAACGCATGATAGAGCGCGTGCGCATGAGAGTGCTCGTGAGAGTGCTTGTGAGAGGGTGCGTACGCGGGCGCGTGCGCGTGGGAGTGCGCGTGAGAGAGCGCGTGCGTGTGAGAGTGTTCGTGAGAGTGCGCGTGAGAAAGCGCGTGAGAGAGCGCATCGCATAAGAGAGCGCGTGTGTGTGAGAGAGCGCGTGCGCACGAGATTATACGTGACAGCTATGTTGCACTTTACGCTGAGGGCTTTTTTTGTATCACATTTATGCCTTCACGTATAAACGAAAAAACATGATACAGGGACAAATACGCAGTACGCTTGGACGGGCAGCCCGTCGAAAAAAAAAAGTTGCGACCGTTCTCGCGATCTGTGTTTCTCTGTAACCTAATTTTGACATTTGAAAGTCGAATGCCTTCCCCCGCACCCACCCCCCCCTTCCACTGCACATAACCTCACACCACCTCCCAAACCCAACTCTTCCCTTCTAACCACACTTTGGCTTTCACGTCGTCAGCTTCGAAAACCTATGTCGACCGCTAATGTCGCAGCTGGATGCAAGTAGGCAGAGGGGCGCAGATCTAGCATTCCGCCGCCAGATCCGTGCGATTCTAGTATTCCGCCAGCAGATCGGCGCAGATCGGGAAGAACCATTTAATATAGGGACCATCACTCACTCCCTAGCGTCATGGCCTTTGGTGCCTAGCCACCAACCTTGGGACGCTCGCTGCTTAAGGCGGGCGGGTGCATTGCAGCGCGCTGGAGCCTTTCTGCTATGCGCTGCCGCCTTGTGCAATGCATGTGAGGTGTACACTTTTTGTTTTTGGCTTTCTTATGCAGGGAGGCTGATTTGTGTTTCTTGCTTGGCCTCTTGTAAGAGCACATGAGTTGTAGTATCTAGTTTTTGCTTTTTGTACACACTCTGAACATACACCGTTGTGTGTTGTTGCTTTCTCTATTTTTGCTTTCTTGTGCAGGGCGTGTGTGTGTTGACTTCTCTGTTTTCGCTTTGTGCAGAGCATGTGTGTGTTGACTTCTCTGTTTATGCTTTGTGCAGGGCGTGTACATGTTGACTTCCCTGTTTTTACTTTCTTGTGCAGGGCGTATGAGAAGCATTCTTGATTGAAGGAAAGGGAGGGGTTTCTTGCAAGAGAAAAGGAAGGGAAAGGAGGGGCGGACAAAGAGGGTAGTTCCCTGCCTGTCTCGCCGCCCTGCTGGCCGGGCGCTGCCCTGCCCTGCCCGTCGCGTCGCCCTGCTGGCCGCCGCATCGCCCTGCCTTGCCCGGGCGCCACCCTGATGGCCGCCACGCCGCCCTGCTCTGCCTGCGCGTCGCCCTGCCCTGCCCGCGCACCGCACTGCTGGCAGCCGCGCCGCCCTGCCCTGCCTGCGTGTCACCCTGCCCTGCCCGCGTGCCGCCTTGCTGCCCGCACCACCCTGCTGTGCGCCGCCCTGCTGCCCGCGCCGCCCTGCTGCTACCCGCCCTGCTGGCTGACGCCCAGCTGCCCGCGCACCGCCCTGCTGCCCGCGCGCCGCCCTCCTGGCCGCCGCCCTGCCCTGCCATTGCACTGCCCTGCCCTGGCTGCGCGCCGCTCTTCCCTAGCCGTGCGCCACCTCACCCCGCCCTACTGGTCGCGCGAACCCTGCTCTGCCCGCTATGGCTTCTCTCAGTGTTCTCCCCTTCGATCATGAGGGCCGTCCGATCCAGTTCGATATGTGGCTCGACGACTTACAGCTGTACCTACTGAGCAATTCTAGAGACAACGTTTCGTTGTTTGACCACACATCTGGAGCCTCTCTCGCCCCTCCCGCCACAGCTCACAGTGCGACTCGCTCACAGTGGCTTACCCATGACGCTACTGCTCGCTTAGCCGTTCGCAACCACCTACCATTAGCCGAACGCACTCACTTTGGCCAGCACAAGACTGCTAAAGCCCTGTACGACGCTGTAGTCGCTCGTTACTCTTCCCCTGCCACTACTGCTCTCGGCCGTCTTATACTGCCCTACCTTTTTCCCTAGCTGTCAGCCTTTGCCACTGTCGAGGACCTCATTACCCACCTTCGTACTAGCGACACTCGCTACCGAGCTGCCCTCCCAGCCGAGTTCCTAGACAAGAACCCGCCCCTGATTAACATCACTCTCTACTTCATAGTCACCCGCCTCCTTGATTCTCTTCGCGCAGTCAGGGACCACTTCCTCGCACTTGACCCCACAGACCTCACTATCGACCTGCTCGAGAAGCACCTCCTTGCAGCTGAGACTAGCGTAGTCGCTGTAGGTGCTGCTCGTGGCACTCCTCGCACACCCTTCTTTGAGGGGTGTTCCCCCTCCCCCCTTGCCCCCTCTGTTATAGTCTAGAGTCCACTTAGGGGTCGCGGATGCCCTTGAAACCGCCTAAGCAGAATCTGATGACTTCGAACCACCTCTATTCAAAACGCCGTCATGATTAGCTCCAAAAACATACGAGACTAAAACTTGGAGAGAAGTTAGCTTCAGGTGTCTGCTTTCAAACGGTATATTGCTTGCTTTCATCAAAGGTGTATGCACTATGCAGTGAACAAAATGTAAGCTCGTCTGAAAACTTGTAGTTTCATTGATGCAAGGAAGAGGTGAGTACAACATTGCCTAGGGGACTCTTAAGGGGTTGGGACCATCCTGGGAACTCAGAGAAGGTTGAGTCCTAGGGGAGAAAGTCTAGAGAAGGATGGGAAACGTCATAGCTAGGTCAGCAAAGCCAACCACACTTGGATGTTCAGAGCTGTACTCAAGGCTACCAATAGTGAGTCAAGCCAACCATGAGTCAGCTTGTCTTCCCACTTGCACCCTCTTGCAAGCTGCTTCCAGGAAGACCACACTTCTCAAAAGGAGGGTGGTAGAGTCCCACTTGACCACCTGTACTTCTTGTCTCATTCTCTGTCCCTGCACCATTGGCATGACAACAATGAAAGGGTGGCAAGGGAAATGCTGCCAACAGTGCACCATGACTACGGAATAGTACCTTTCGACAGCTGTCACGTGCTGCTCCGATGATGGGTTGTCGTGAAACTTGGTGACCACCTGTAGAACACGGCAAAGGACTGCCACACTGATTTTCAGACCAATCAAAGTTTTGTAGATGAGTCGGCAGCTGAAATGGTGAACTCGGATGTTACCAAAAAAGAGTAACACACACTTCCGGGATACCACAAGTCTTGAAACTAAAAATGTTGCCATGCCTTGTAAACTGCTTCAAAAAATCTGAAACTTTGAGGGTCTGAAGAAAACATGTTGAAGCACCCTCCCCACAAAATTCCAGAAGCTGAGCAGACTTGTAGGCGGAATGGGAGTGCGATGACCGTGCCACTATAGTGCTTTGGCACTACACCCTCCTACGCTTCTGCTGCTGCTGTTCACATCCTTGGTACTGAGGATGTCGGGGCTGCTTCTGCTCTTAGTGGGAAGCGCCGCAGTGGCAAGGGAAAGGGTGGCAAGAGTGGTAGCGGTGGCAGCGGGGGTAGTGGTGGTGGAGGCGGTGGAGGCGGTGGAGGTGGCGGAGGTGGTGGCAGCGGTGGGAGTGGTGGCGGGAGTGGGGGCTTCGTTGGTGGCGGTGGTGGCAGCGGTGGGAGTGGGGGTGGCGGTGGTGGCGGCAGTGGGACTGGTGGCGGCGGCAGTGGTGGCGGTCGGGGTGGAGCTGTTCAGAGGGGAGGTTCTGGCGGTGGCCTGAGGCAGCAGCAGCAGCGTCGGAGAGAGACCCCTACGCCCCAGCAGCTTCGTGAGTGGTTTGCTCAGCGTGGGGCGTCTGGGGGTAGTGTTCGCTGCCCGTATGTCATTCGCACAGGTGACCGCGCTGGTCAGACATGCGGGATGTTTCACACACAGCACCGCTGCTTCTCCCGCCTTGACGACGCTTGGCGTACAGAGTGTGGCGACGAGGATGAGCGCCCCCTTGGCTAGATCTACTTAGGTCTGGTGCTGATATCTTTGCCCTTGACTATGATGCTATCCTTGCTGCCATGTATGCCTTATCTGTTAGTGCTGAGGGTGACTGTTACCTGTGTGTGCCGCCCGACCCAGATATAGAGGCTGCTGCTCTAGGTGCTAGTGAGTCTGCTCTCTCTGGTACTGCGCCTGCCGAGGCCTTGCACACCTTTGCGCTTGATTCAGGTGCTCCCCGCTGTTTCTTTCGCGACAGTACCACACTCACTCCACTCCCTACACCTGTTCCAGTCAGACTGGCTGACCCCTCAGGGGGCCCAGCTCTTGCACGTTCCTCCACTGTTCTCCCGTGTCCGGCGGTTCCGTCTGGCTCACTCTCAGGTCTTCACCTCCCCTCGTTCTCTACGAACTTGGTGAGTACCGCTGCCCTCCAGGATGCGATGGTCACTACCACCACTCCTGGGGGTCAGTGTGTGTCGATCTGCACATGTACACCGATGGGCCGTCACCTGGCCACGTTCACCCATCGGCCTGGGTCGAGTCTGTACATACTGACTACTGAGCCTCCTAAGGTAGCTGTGTCTGCTCAGGTGTCCGCGTCAAGTCCGGTAGCAGCCCCTTGCTCGTGTCGCCTCCTTTCGCACCAGACTCTCCTCTGGCACCACCACCTTGGTCACCTTTCCCTGCCACGCCTTCGTGGCATGCACTCGCGCCTCCTTGTTTCTGGTCTTCCCAGGTCTCTGCCTCCCCAACCGCCCTCGCCTGCCCCACCCTGCCTTCCTTGCGTCGAGGGGCGGCAGCACGCCACTCCTCACTCCTCCTCGTTTCTCCCGACGACTACTCCCCTGCAGACTCTCCACATGGACGTGTGGGGCCCAGCCCGCATCGGTGGAAAGGAACGCGAGCGCTACTTCCTGCTGGTTGTTGACGACTACACGCGTTACACCACGGTCTTCCCCTTGCGCAGAAAGGGTGAGGTCCCTGATGTCTTGATCCCTTGGATCCGCGCAGTCCGTCTCCAGCTCCGTGAGCGGTTCCGCGAGGACCTTCCTGTCCTACGTCTGCACTCTGACAGAGGTGGTGAGTTCTCCTCTGACCTCTTGCTGGACTTATGTCGTGGGGAGGGCATCCACCAGAAATTCATGCTTCCGGCCTATCCGCAGAAAAATGGGGTTGCTGAGCATCGCATTGGCTTAGTCATGGAGATCGCTCGTACCTCCATGATCCATGCGGCTGCACCCCATTTTCTGTGGTCGTTTG